CATGAGTGATTGGAGTCTCTGACACCGGCACTTTTTGAAACCTTCTCTCAGAGTGGAAATTTTTGGGAATTCCCAATGCAAAGGTGTAAAGTACTTGCAGGTGTGAAAGTGCACACAGCTGCAGGATGAGGTAGAGGCTAAGAGTCAAAACACATGCAAGTTTCAATGACATGCTAAAATCAGACCATATCCATGCATTAAAGAGGCAGTATTATGACTTTCCCTGGCACAATCAAGTAACCATATTAATTTCAGTTGTTACAAATGTCAAATCAAACATGAATTGTAAGCAATTTGACTTTGTAACTTAATGCCTTGAAATAAGAAATTTGTCTCTTTAGTTAGTTGGTACAGAGGCTAATAAGGGCATATGAAACCCATTTAAAATATTTTAAATCTTTTTGTGATATAAAAAATGGATATCATAATTTTATAACTTGTCCATTTACTATGTGACATTTATCCTATGTAATTAAAGAAAAATCAATCAGCAAGAGGATAAAGATAAACCCCAAAAAAGGGTGCAATAAGGTGGTTGCAGAAGAAGTCAACAAACAGTTTAGTCAACAGTTTAGAAGTCGACAAACTTCTAAACTGATGCTTTGTTTAAGCATGTTTTGATTTAAATTAAACATTAAGTTTTTCTGGTAGGAATCTATTAGAATGTTTTATATTGATTTGTTCTATGAGTTCATCAGACTGATGGCACATACAAAGCTCTCTACGGGTACACCTCCAGTGATTTAGTCATACAGCTGGATAATGTTAGCTCTGGAATAGGCCATTGCAAAATTAGAAATTTTGCACAAATTAAGTAATTTTTGTTGTTGCTGAATGAGCTGAAAAAGCTGTTGCTCTAAAAATAAAACCCATTTTCATTTGTAGCTTTTCAGCAAAAATCTGAAAGTTTGGAAGCAAACAGCTTTTTTGAACTGCTAGTTATTCTATCCATCTATCCATGGTTATTCAAAGAAAATTAACCTCAGAGCACAATCCTGTCTCTTCCATGTTTTATTTTTATATGGTGTGCTTTTACCATACCTACACAAAATTTCCAAGTTTAATTTCATCAGACTATGCGTTATTCTTAAAAAGAACAAATGCTGAAAAGATGCAGAAAGTTTTTAAACAATGTTCAGCTTTAAAGTATTCTAATCACTGGATTCTATAAATCCAGTGAAAGTGGAGTATATTAAATTTAAGCTATCATGGCATAGAAATATTCTAATGGCTTCTGTCTACATTTTGCTGATGTTAATCAAAATATGTGAGCCAAAAAAGTAACTTGGCATGTTTTATTTTATTTTATTTTTTGCTTACGAAGATGTGTCAAACTGTCAGCATTAAAGTGATCATTTCTGTGCACAACATATTTTTTTTGTAATCCACATAATAAAAGGGACCCCATTCAATTACTTTGTCTATTACCACTTGCAGATGCATGCCGATGACACAAAGGGTCGGGATGCACAAAATATAATGGGCATCTTGTTTTAATTGTTGAGATTTTTCTCTTCCTTTTTTCTGAAGGTGACAGGGCCATTACTCGAAAGTCACCACTTATCTGCAGTATCACCGAGGATTAATGGTTTCACTTCGGCTGGTAAGAAATGTTCAAGTTGTCCTGATTATCAGTGCAAGAAAAAGAATAATGGTTATTTGTCATTGTGTTAAGCAGTGGGAGACTAATCTAACAAAACACTCAGTTAGCAACACCATTAACCCTTGCTGGTGAGGCTGAGCAGGATGTACGGGGAGCTGAATGCACAACTGATGCCTAAATCTCAGAAGCTGAGTCAATTTGATTCAGAGCCCCAAGATTCAAAAGAAGCTGCTTGTTTCTAAAATGAATGACGAAAGTATGAACCAATAAGGTTGGAAAACATGCTAAGTATTATGCCATTGTGTGCTGTGTTGTGGTTTTTCACATTATCTCAACTATAAATCTGAGTAATAAACTAAAGATACATAGCATTAAATGGACAATCAAAATAAAACCAATAAATTTTGTATCACATCAGGTAGGAAACTGATCTAAAGTGGATAAAAATTACATAAAATGTGAAGATGGTAAACATCATGATGGGAAATTAGGCTTAGAATTGTGATTTAGATTGGGATTTATGGTTTGTTTGTAAGGCGAACAATTACCACCACCAGTAGCTGACACACTACCCATTTAGCACATTTGTCTTGTGGAGGATTTTTTTTTTTCCAGTAACCTAGTCCCTGAAGCTTTTGTGCTGGTGGCACAAGCTTGTTCCTGCTCCAGTAATCGCCTACATTATTTTCCTTGTCTGTCACCTTTATAGTATCTATTAGCCACTCTCTGCTATCTGTTCGCAGGACATTTTCTCTTCCTTTTTCCCCATGAATGTTTTATATATTGGAGGGAGAATGATTGTTCTTTGCAATGAGGCCAGTGCGTGGCCTCAGTAAGACAAATTGCTCCAGAACGCCTAAATGGCAGTCAATGATAACTCATTGTAAGGAGAGTAAGTGACTTCCAATGGAGTGGATAGGGGGACAGAGAATAATGGCAGAGCACAGGTGAAAAATAGATGTTTGGCTCAGTGTAATTACTCCATTAGGGGGCTCTCTGTTAATCTACCCAAGCAACAGTGAGTGTTTTTACAGCAGCGAGAAGGTGAGGGGCAAAAAATGACTGCTACTGGACAGAGAGGAGCGCCTCTACCTCCACAGTCACAACACAGACTATGAAGTGTTTACTAACAGACAAATCCACTTCTGGTTTGTGCTACTCCAGCTACAAATAACTACAAGCATGGATGTACTGATGAAGTTTATCATTGAGCTGACATTAATTAACAGCCGGATGATCTTGTGCACTCACTGTTCTTTAACCTTCTGTGTCAATTGTGTGCAAGAGGGCAGGCCTGATTGAAGCCTGCTTAATATGAAAATCTGGGTTAGAATAGAAAACAGGGACAAAAACAAACAATCCGCTGCAAATCAACACCCCGTTCTGCTGCTTTCCAGACAAACATGATGAACAATTTTTATTTCACCATTTGGTGTCTGCTGCTTCCGCCTGTGGCTATACAGACAAAAGAAGCCTTAAAAAAATGGTCCAATATGGTCTTAAGAGTTTACTCCGACCACACAATCTGTTTTCTTAAGTGAACTTTTAAAACACTGCTATGAGCAGTGCCCACAGCACTATCGGCAAGGCTCACGCTGACCTCCCGTTCAAATTTATACTATTTCCCATCTGTTTAGGTTCCACCCAAGAATTCATCCCAGTTGGCTGTAGGCCCACTTTGCATTGGGCTTCCTCGATGAAACCAAGAACAAAACCCCCTAGTAGAAAGAAAGACTCTCTGTTTGGCCTATTTTAGACGATCTCCCCCACACATCAGTGCATTCTATTCTACATGAAGATTAGAACTAAATTCTAAATTTCAAGACCTGACCAATTTGGTCTTTATTTTTTTTTATTTATTTTTTTTTTTCTATAGAAAAAAGTAGTAAAGACATGGCATTGATTTGTGATAGTGGTTTGCAATTTTATGCTATCAATTTCATACCGATAGCATAAAGCTTTTGTATTTGTAATCGCCATAGCTTATCGTCAAGTTTTATTTTTTGTTTTACCAATAAATATGTGTTTGTTGGTAAAAATAAACACACACTTAACTTAGAGATCAGAACGTGCTTTTTGAAATTCACCAGTAATTTGTTAGTTGTTTTTTAACAAAATGTATTACAAAATTCTATTGATTTGGTAGATGAACACATGCTCAATTAGCCTGCTTGAAAATATATTTCTGTTCTTTATGTTATAACAGGACGTAAGCAGGATGTCATTCAGTTTGGAGCAGCATGTGCTATATAAATATTTTTAAAGGTAAAAAGATGTATTCAAAAGGACATTCAAGACATATTCAAAAAGATTAGCTTTCGGTTAAATTAAGGACCAATATGTCTATGAAATGAAAAGGCAAAACATTTTGTTATTTTTGATCAAATAGGTTTTTCAACAGGTTTTGATGTAATTGGAGAGACATTAGTCCAGCATTTCAGTTTTTAAGTGCACAATGGCAGTTTAAATTTTTAGCATGGGGTCCATTTTTCTGAGGTACAAGTCACCTGATTTATCTGACTGTATGACACAAAAATGTAAAGGAATAAGGAAAGACTACAGAATTATGCACCGTACTGCTAGTGAAGAGAGCACTGTAAATACGACTGTACAAAATTGGAAAACACGCATATAGGACATTTGTTAAGGTTGCAATCATGATAGGACTTGCAATGAATTAATACAAAGCAATGTGAATCTCTTTGTGCTTTGGGGTCATTCCAAACATAGATCCAAAATAGCGCTAAGGTGTCCAGTAATGGGAAAAAAACAAACAAACAAAAGAACAGAAATAGCATTGCTTTCATGCATGAAACATGCTTTCATTAAAAGAAATCTTGCATCTGGCCACATGTTGTTTTGGCAAGAAATAGCTTAATTGTAGTTTCTTTATGACTTTACCCGAAAAAGCTCAATACCCTCCTAAAACTGTTTTTGCTGAATTAAACAAGTATCGTCACATTCATCAATGTGATAGAGGAGTCTGAATGCATGGTACTCATAAAACAGGTTAATATTTATCACAGACTATGCAGTTCTTTGCAGTATGATTTGATCAAATTAGCTATGCATTTTGCAACCATAATTATTAAGCAAAATGTAGCTTTATACATACAAAGTCTAAGAGTTCAGAACATTTAACAAATTTTTATGTCCAAACTTGTAAGGTTAATTGGAAATATTATCCATCCATCTCCTATAACTGCTATATTTGCAAGATGGCTTTATCAATCAATCATTTTTTACTGAAAAGTTTTGAACCCTGTTTTCTATATTACAAAATCAGTGAGAGAAAAAAACAAAGCCAGCTCGTTTTTGTCGCTCGTATTCACGTGTCCTATGTTTTCTTAAATATACACATTGTGCCCCAGTATTGCATTATATCCAGCATACTCACATCTCATTTAGGTCAACTCAGTTCGTTCTGGGATATCTCTGCTAATATCAGTCCTTGTAGGAGGAAACTGATTTGCACCTGCTGAAGAAAAATGAAAGCCACACATGAAGTCTCTAAAAATATAGTAACATTGGTAAAAGCAACAAAAGCTACAGGTTGAGGTAAAAGGGACTTCCATAGTAAAGACGGTAAGTAAGAGGCCGCCATTACAGCTCGGTGATGAAAACGAGCACGGTGACCCGATTAAGGGGGAAATTTCTGGGTCACGGTCTTGTTTTTCAGTGCTTAATTCGTCCATCGATAGTGACACGGTGCGTGGCTCACACCTACCTGTAATATTATCTTTCTGAAAGTCTTGGTTCAGACAGGGGCCTTGTCACTGTAACCCAACACGGAGTGAGGGAGAGCCGGAGTCACCCAGAGAGGGAGAAGACTGAACCTGCAGGCAGCGGGGAGAGGCTGGCTGACTGGCTTACTCACCGGAGGAAGTGATGGGCTACAGCGCCACTCAGTGGACATTTTGGCATTTTATTTTTGTCAAACGATGGAACTCCCTCTAGGCTTCAATTACATTTTCAAACACTTTTAAACAGACAGACAGACAGACAGACAGACAGACAGACAGACAGACAGATAGATAGATAGATAGATAGATAGATAGATAGATAGATAGATAGATAGATAGATAGATAGATAGATAGATAGATAGATAGATAGATAGATAGATAGATAGATAGATAGATAGATAGATAGATAGATAGATAGATAGATAGATAGATAGATAGATAGATAGATTCTTATATACCTGTACACACCCATAAAACTTTCTCTATACTTCCAAATAAATTCCGATGCAAACAATTGTCTTCAGAACCTCAAAAGCCACTTAATTAGTCTCTTGTGTTTCGGGGAGGCTATAAATATATATATATATATATATATAATATATATATAATATATATATATATATATATATATATATATATATATATATATATATATATATATATATATATATATATATATATATGGTTGTAATTATCAATCCCAGCCCCTGCATCAGTAAAGCCTGAAACCAGTTAGTGTAATTTAGTGGCCTTTGGAGTCCACCAACAAACAAGTTCACAGTGTCTGTGGTCTCAGCTTTTCAGGGCTTCATTCACATCACACAAACTCCCCTTCATCTCATGCTAATGTAGGACCAGAAAAAAAAAATGAAGATACCTAGCTTTAAAGACATGGCAGTCAGTTTAAGCAAAAAAAAGAAAAGAAAAGAAAGAGAGAGGTTGTGCTTTGTGTTTGAAGTCATAAACGTGACAGAGGACTTCAAGAGAAAAGACCCAAGACTGGCAGTCGAAAGATGAGTGAGAGGCGGATGGGGAACATGTTTCTTCTTTTTCCCCCTCCATCCGGAGGGATATTCTGTGGCCAAGCTTGATTATTAGAGATGAAGGACAGGCTGAGAGGATGTGGGATTGTTAAAGTCTTGAATCCCCTCACCAAAGCCCTCTTGCCTTGCATTCTTCTGCACTTTATTTATATGGCTTTACGCCTTGCACTTTTAATTTAATTTTTCAAGCTGGATAAAATTTGTTTTGTTATTTTGAAATAATATGGAAGCATGCAATATAATTGTAATACTTGAGTATCAAAACCAAGTACATGTTGTGCACTTTAACCATATTTTCAAGAGTTTGCAAATATTTATAGATTCATACACTCAATAATAATCACTACAGTGTACATGTAGATAACACTTCAATTTACTGTGCGGTTGTGGATGCAAAACCTCTGTTCCCCTTTCTGTGAGAGTCTGTGCTTCATTTGATGCCCTGTCCATTATTGCCAGCATATTTGAAAAGTGCTAAGCCTTGAAATGAGTCCCATATTATTTCAGGCCGGACTGAATATTTCACGGCAGGAGGCAGAAAATGAGACCTTCCCTCAAGAGACTGCCTGCAGTGCATTCTACTTGGTGAAGCAAACGGAAGATCTCATACTGTGCACAACACACTTGAACAATTATATATTTATCCGGCACATTTGTGAGAGATTTCTTTATTTTTCTGTTGTTTGTGAGTGTTCAAAAAATAAAGGGGAAAATACAAAATTGAGAGAAACAACAAATATAAAAGTTTCTTGAAAATCTGTGTTTGGAACTGTTTGCGGTACAAAAGTATCCATGATAAAGTGTGGCTCCCTTTGAGCTATGGAGCTACAATTGTAGTACAAATTGCAGCAGGCTGAGAACAGCAAGCTAACTACATTGATTCTTGAATCATTTTTTGTGAAATGAGATCCCGGTCTTGTGAGATTAGTTTGTGCTCTGGTAGACGATTTTATAAATGTGTAACATAGTATCCTCAAGCAGCACCATAGCGATACCGGACTTGTGAAAACATACTTTAATACAGTTTACTAATATTTTATGTGCTTGACAACTACAAAGTGGTTGTGTTGGTGCAGCGTATAAAACTGTGAAATGGATTAAATATATTACATCATAATATATTTTCAAAAAAGTAAAAGACATAATCTGAAAAGTGTGACATTCATCCATGACCCCGTTTTTTTCTAAAAGAATAAAATCCAATTAAACTAATTACCTTCAGATACCCAGTGTCAATTCTTTCTCAATAGAAAATTTGTTATTCAGTGACGACACATTTTTTTTTGTAAGAAAACAATAATGCACAAAAAGTATTGTTCAAGCCTTGACGTACCAAGATATGGACATCCACCCAAACACACAAGCAAGGCAAGGAGAGCATTAATCAGACAAGCCAAAGGGCTAAAGTTAGCTTTGGACTTGTTGCAGACATCCTAAACTCAGATAGGAGAATCTGTCCACAGGGTAACTGACTTGTCATGAACTCTGAAGTGAGAAGAAGCACATTTTTAAAAAAGAAACCCATGATAAGTTCCTTTGCATTTTGCCTTCATTCACAATTGAATGAGAGCTGCTCTGGGCTGATGAGATCAGCATGTAACTTTTTGGACAACATCATACAAACTGTTATCCCACCCCTGTTACTTCAGCATGAATACTGAAGCATGTCTGAACTGATCTAAATATCTGGCTAAATATAGGACTGTCTTTGAAGAAAACTTGTTTGAGGCTATATGAGCAGTTGCCCAAGGCAGCATAGGAAGGGGAACGATTAAATCATACGTATTCAATAAATTAATATCTGTCCAATATGCCCTGAGCAAGTTTGCAACTGTTTTTATGCAACTGGTTTCATGAAAACCTGCTTGCTGCTGAGAATAGATAGGGTAGCCTGGGGGCTTTTTATGGGACTGGACCCATAGCACAATGACCCTAAACATCCAGCGTGAGCTACAATGGAATGGTTTAGATCAAAACATATTCATGTCAAGTCTAGGCTGAGTGCATATGCCAGTAACACTTGTCAGACTTTTATTTCTAAAAGGTTTGGAGGCCTTACATCATGTGGTTCACATTTATGCACTAAGGATTTACTTAATATGATTGACAGACTTATATTGATTTACTTTAGTCACCATTCATCCATTCGCCCCTCACTAATACTACAAAAATGATATATACTCTGATATAAAAATGACAATAAGTAACTTTTTTGTATTGAAAATGAAAATTGAGAAGTGATTTTTTTTTTATTTTAGTTAAAAATAGTTAAGAAACACAAATAGCCATCATTTGAAGCTTAAAGCTGTCACATAAAGAAGAAATTAGTTATATTGGCACAATTTTGAGTTAACTGGCTTACTTATTCCTAAAAGTGCAACAAAGTGAGAGGACAAACCTTTGCTTAATCATTAAAACTTCAACTTGCATCAACCTTTAAGATGGATCCATATCTCTGTTCCTAGAAGAATTCACGTGGATGGCAAGTCGTGGTGTCCTTTGTGTTTTGTGAAGATATTGAGTGTTTGAAGTGTTAACCCTGACACTGCGCCTTTGGGGTGAGTAGGCAAAGGAAGCATGTCACACAATAGGATGGGACTTGGATCTTTGCCTCTCCTTCTCTGACCTCTGACCATTATTGGTTTTAAGGGCTGCTGCAACCTCGGCTCCTTAGGCATTGTGTCTGCCTTGATCATGTCATCACTATTTGTAGAAGTAGCAGCACCACATCTCCAATAAAAATGGACTCTTGAATAACGTATTCTGATGAGCAAGCTTTCTCTCATTTCTTTATTCATTTAAGTTTTTTTGGAGTGATAAAGGAAAAACAAAAAAGTTTAATAAATTTGGTTAAAGTGCAGTTTCTGTCTTTCGTTCATGGCCTTTTTGTTTAGTCTGCTTTTATATCTTCAAAAGGCTTGGCCAGCCATTGCTATCTGATATCATGGAAATGACCTTTGTTAATGAATCTTTGAATTTCAGTTGACAATGTTTTTGTGTGATCTCTGTGTGTTATATGCCTCCAGTAGCTCCACTGACACAGTCCACTGAGGCCACACATAAAACAGTATGCCATCTGCACCTGGAGCATGGCTATCAGCTCTGTTCTCTCTTTCCCACCCGAACCCCCCACGCTGCTTTCGCTTGAGCTTTTTCCTGCCTCTGTCTAGTATGACCCTGCTCTTCCCATTCCAGGCTACAGAAGCCAAACCAAAGGCAGCTTTCAAGGGGGACTGTCTGCTCAAATCAAGTCACAGGCCTTTTTAGAAGCGGTTCAGAGATCATAGCAAGTAGAAGTCAGGGAAGAGAATGACCCCTCTCCTCCAGGCTTGATCGGATCTTGGCCCAGTCAGACCCAGCAGGGCTGAGTCTTTGGACAGTTCCGTCTCTGCAGGCTTTGACTCTGTGATAGCGCGAATGAAAGAGGGCACAGAGAGAGAGCAGCAGTTCTGATGTGTCAGGCTCAATGTCCTGGCATACTTGCAGAGCAAAGTGGGCAAAGCAAAGGACAGAGCCAGCAGGCACAGGTCCAGAATAAGACCCCTATATTGTGTGACATGTCATCTAATGACTGTCCTTTTGTTTTAGATCTTTCCATCAGGGATAAGTTGGGGCCAATTTTAAAGGTCACAAGACGAATAAACAAAGCCAGCTCTTAGAAGGCAAAAAATTAACATAATGTTTAAGAAATAAAAAAAATAATAATAATTAAAATACTCCAGTCTGTCCCAAGTCTGTCACTTGGGCCTCAGCATCTGCTGTAATGTGTGGCTGATTTCCTATATTAGCTTTTCCTTGTTACATTACATTGCTCACTTACATAAAAAATAAACTAAACCTCGGGTTTAAGGAATAAACATTAAATATGTTTTGTGATTGCACCTGGTACTAAATGGAATGTACAGTATAACAGGACAGTCCACTATGTAGGAATTTTTTTATTTACTGTATTTAATCCAGACAACTTCAACATTCCTACATGTTGTTAGTTTCCCAATCCAAGCAATGGTAATGTTCCATGT